TTCCCCATAACGATAACAAGTCTACTTTTATAATGTAATAAAGTCTACTTTTATAATGTAATAAAGTTGTTTTTAATAATGTAATAAAGTCTACTTTTATAATGTAATAAAGTTGTTTTTAATAATGTAATAAAGTCTACTTTTATAATGTAATAAAGTTGTTTTTAATAATGTAATAAAGTCTACTTTTATAATGTAATAAAGTTGTTTTTAATAATGTAATTAAGTCTACTTTTATAATGTAATAAAGTTGTTTTTAATAATGTAATAAAGTCTACTTTTATAATGAAGAAGCTTTACATATCTAAGACCGACTGAAAACACTTTTAATCAAACATGTTACAGCATTATGCGGTGGGTTCGTTTTGCCGCATTGCCCAATTTGCCGCATCGTGCCCAACTGCACAAAAACGACTTGTAAAACGAAACTAAAAGCTCCTGATAAAATTCTGAATGGCCATTTGAAACGAAATATTTTAATATGGTGTCCCGCATCGATTTTTATACGCCCACATCTCTCTATGTGGACGTATATTGTCGGCACCACCGTCCATCCGTCAGTCCGTCCTTCAGTCCGTCCGTCAAAATTTGCTTGTAAACGCTCTAAAAACTAGATTTTTTGATGGAATCAAATGAAATTCGGTATGTGTATGCATATTCATAAAACGAAGATCAAGTTCGAATTTGAGTTATTTTCAACCGTTAGAAGCAGAGTTATTGCCCTTGCTCCATAATCTTGTATATGCTATTCCTCTCTTAGTTTTCAAAGGATTTTGATGAAACTTAAAATGGATGTTATTGGACCTAAATCGAAAGGTTTGAGAAAGTTTAGTTAACTTTGGATTATATTTAAGGCTTTTTCAAGACTTAGGTCTCTTACGTCAGTTTTGAGGAGTTATCGCCCTTTAACCTCTATACAGTAAGTGCTTCTATCAACATCATTTGCTCGTAAACACTCTAAAAACTAGAGTGTTTGAAGGAATCAAATGAAATTCAGTATGTGCATACATATTCCATCCGTCCGTCCATTCACAATTGCTCGTAAACACTCTACAAGGCTTGTAAACGCTCTAAAAACTAGATTTTTTGATGGAATCAAATGAAATTCGGTATGTGTATACATATTCATAAAACGAAGATCAAGTTCGAATTTGATCTATTTTCGACCATTAGAAACAGAGTTATTGCCCTTGCCCCAAAATCTTGAATATTTACCATCCGCATGCCGTGGTGGGCATATATGGCTGTGGTCCACTATCTAATTTTTCTTTTTCTAAACAATCGCAGGTTTGTCGATTTTTGTAGTAAGTAAGTTGGAGCCAATCAACCCCAGCTTCTACCGTGTCCACCAGGACATTCTGGGACTTATCAGGAACCAGTGGGGGTTGAGCCACTGCTGAATTTTAGAGCACATGGAATACGAGAATTTTAAACTTCTCCTCGCTTGATAATTCTGATTTACTATTCAGAAGATTTTCACTTTCAGAAATTTCAGTTGCCATTTTTTCTAGCACGAGGGTGGCGTTATTGGCGCGCAGTAGAGGGACATAACTCTTGCAAGTTATCACCACATTTATTGCACTTGTCTTGTTTGGTTTTATGGATTTATGTCTTTTGTATTACGGTTCTGATCGTTTGTACTTTGTATTTATTTTATTCCAGATTTTACCATAAAACTATACTTTCGATTTCCCTAACAGGTCCAAATTATACATAATAAAAAAACAACAGACTGATTAAAATATTTCGTTTTATGTAAAAAATGGCCATTCCGGATTTATCAGAAACCTTTAGTTTCGTTTTACATGTCGTTTTTGTGCAGTTGGGCATGATGCGGCAAGTTGGGCAATGCGGCAAAAAGAACCCACCGAACATTATGTAGTTGTTTAAACATCCAAAATATGAAAATAGCACTGAACTCTCAAAGCACATTTGGCAACTTAAACTGAAAAATGACAATAACAAAATTTCCTGGTCCATTGAGTGTTACAAATCAGAAACCACTCCATAAATCCTTAGTTAATCCGTAACATATCTCACTTCCTGTTTATCCATTTTGTTGTAAAGAAAGCAAGTTGCAATGGAAAATACTTCTAGAAAAAAGAAAATTCACAAGTGTGATGTTTGTGAAAAATGTTTCACTCAGTCAAAAGGTCTTAACAAGCACTTAAGAGTTCATACTGGAGAGAAACCTTACCAATGTGATGTTTGTAAAAAGTGTTTTACTACTGCATATTCACTAAATAATCACACGAGAACACATACTGGAGAAAAACCTTACCAATGTGATGTTTGTAAAAAGTGTTTCACACAGTCAGGTTCGTTCAAAGATCACACAAGAACGCATACTGGAGAGAAACCTTATAAATGTGATGTTTGTAAAAAATATTTTACAGGGTCAAATTCACTCAATGCTCACATGAGGATACATACTGGAGAGAAACCTTATAAATGTGATGTTTGTGAAAAGTGTTTTGCACAGACAAAAACTCTTAAGGTTCACATGAAAATTCATACTGGAGAGAGACCTTACAAATGTGATGTTTGTAAAAAGAGTTTTGTTGTGGCAAGTTCACTTAAAAATCACAGGAGACACCTTCTAAATGTGAAGTAAATGTGACGTTTGTAAAAAGTGTTTTATTTCAAACTGATCAAATGAGAGTTAAATCTAAATGTAAAAACTGAGAGAATAGATGGAGCCCCAAAACGATACCACTAGACACAAAAATACACAAGCCTGAACTAAACAGAGATACAGGATATTATTTATTTTTGGAATGAACTCTTTGATTAGCTTAATTAACCATTAACCATGGCCTCCATCACCCTTTGATCTTAAACACCTTCTTAGGTAGGTAGGTAGATGACAAGTTAACGTTCGCTTCCAGCGGATGCTGATATCGCAAACTAGGTAGTTGTTGGTTCAACACCTTCTTAATCCTGAGGTCCCTTTATACTGTTAATTGTTACTCATTTATTTACTATATATATTGTTAGTCTTTTTATATTATTCACTTTTCTTGATAACACTGTCTGTATGAGCATGTGAAATGTCGAGTTAATAAATGTCAGAAATAGTATATCTATATATCTTGTGCTTCTTTATCATGAAATATTTAACATACCTCTATATTTGTCAGTCTTTACATTCTCAATTGGAACTTTGATACCAAAAGACAGGGTAGACTGGTTGTATATGTAACCTCCAGGGCCCTCTTCTATTATGCCTAGGGGTGTGAAGAGAGACGATGGACGTAAATATAACGGGTATTTTGTTTGCTGTTGATGGTTCTCAGGATAACAGTCAGTAGTATCCTACAAATATAATGATTCAGAATCAATATTTGTAATAAAAAGTTTAATAACGTCTAAAACAGGAACCCCTGGTTCAGAGATCAGGGATCCCAGTGAGCCCCCACCCCCCTCCCCTAAAAAATAGCTGAAATATTGACGGAGGTGGGGGGATTGAGGGGTTAATGAAGCTGAAGAGATTTTACCTTTAATGATGCTTTGGAAGTCATTTCCATTTACTTCCTTTTCTTGCCAGGACCAAATCCAGGAATTCTTCACACCAGCATCTTACCCCGACCAGGGTTGGTTACTGTTACTTACTTAATCTACAATCTCTTTGTATTTAATCATAGTCTATTTAATTCAAATCATCTAATCCCTTAACTAATCCCTTAACTAATCCCTTAACTAATCCCTTAACTAATCCCTTAACTAATCCCTTAACTAATCCCTTAACTAATCCCTTAACTAATCCCTTAACTAATCCTTCTAACGCTTCTACAAGTAGTTAAAAAGGCGGAATTTTCTATAAGACCATTATGCAACTAGGTAGCGTCCTAACTTCGGACTTCAGCTATACGTCTAAAATATGACACGGATTTCTTAAACCAATAATGGATAAATTTATAACCTTAAGCGTTTATAAGTGAAATAATATTAGAAATAGTAATTTACTATTAACTTTAAAGGGCTAAATGGGTTTATTTTCAACGTGAAGAATTACACTAGTTATGACACTATATCTAAACCCTTTATATAGTTTTTATGAATTTACCTGGCCACTGAGGAATTGTTTCAAACATCAAATTTGAAATTTTCTATTGATATTACAGCAGTCTTTTCACGTGAATGATTTCTAAACCTTTGGGAAAGAAATTCAGAGAATACGGACGTACGCAGAAAGTTTTGTTTACAAATGACGACGAATTTTCGATCAGAAATATAAAAATTAACTCTGTGTACTTAATTTAAACAATATTTATTTCTCAAAATTATCCATATGTACGTCTGCAAATATATAAGTCTGACCGATTCAGAAACTAGCGGGGCTTATATAAATCCGTCTCGGCTGTATAACATTACAAATTATTATGCAAATATAAATAAATATTACAGTATCATACATATAGTATAGATGGTGAAAGAAAGAAGGTAGAGTTAGAGTAAAATAAAATGATAATGGAGCCTATTCACTGGTATGATTTTAATAAAAAAAAAATTATTAGATTTTATTAGGTTTTTGGGTATGCAACAGACACTAGTAAGTTTGAAAACGTTTGGACATGTGTACTTCTCCAGTTGTTACATGTAAAGTATGGATTATTATCATCATAGCAAAATTCACAAAAATCACAATAATGAGAAAATGAAAATAACGAAGTTGATCGCTACTTTTATTTTCTATCTCGTCTTCCGGTCGGAATTATATGTGTAGTTAACACTGATTGGTCAAATCGGTCCAATCAAAATTGGGTTCTCATAATCGCTATTTTCCAGAACAGTAAAAATGGAGGCCTCGAGATTCAAAATACATACGTAACTGTTTAAGAATTATTTTATCGATTGTGATTAACGCTTGGATTTTTTCACTGAAACTTTCACGAAATTTAAGCGGCATCTTCCTAAAGACCTTTAACATACAGTTTAAAATATAGGTAATTATTAGTAGACATCCTATCCGTATTTTGTATATGAGAAATGACCTATAAATTATAAGGTAGCTGTATATACAAAACTACGTATGGTACTTACATGGAAATAACACACACAAACGTAGTCCACAATCATCACGATATCTTCCCTGACTCAGGAAGTCGAATTTTGATATACAATAATTAAAACTATTCTCATTTTTATTTTCAAACAAAATGTAACTTCACAAAGACATTAAAGAACAAACTAGTTCGAGAATATTATTCAATCCGTAATTGAGTGTTACAAATCAGAAACCTCTCCATAAATCTTAAGTTAATCCGTAAAATATCACACTTTCTGTTCATCCATTTCGTTATAAAGAAAGCTAGTTGCAATGGAAAATACTTCTAGAAAAAAGAGAAACCTTATAAATGTGATATTTGTAAAAAGTCTTTTACACAGGCAAGTTCGTTCAATGTTCACATGAGAACACATACTGGAGAGAAGCCTTATAAATGTAATGTTTGCAATAAATATTTTACAAAGGCATGTTCGCTCAATATTCACATGAGAATACATACTGGAGAGAAACCATATCAATGTGATGTTTGTAAAAAGTTTTTTACAAAGGCATGTTCACTCAATGTTCACATGAGAATACATACTGGAGAGAAACCTTATAAATGTAATGATTGTAAAAAGTCTTTTACACAGGCAAATTCGCTCAATGTTCACATGCAAATACATACTGGAGAGAAACCCTATAAATGTGATGTTTGTAAAAATTCTTTTACAAAGGCAAGTTCGCTCAATGTTCACATGAGAATACATACTGGAGAGAAACCCTATAAATGTGATGTTTGTAAAAATTCTTTTACAAAGGCAAGTTCGCTCAATGTTCACATGAGAATACATACTGGAGAGAAACCCTATAAATGTGATGTTTGTAAAAATTCTTTTACAAAGGCAAGTTCGCTCAATGTTCACATGAGAATACATACTGGAGAGAAACCCTATAAATGTGATGTTTGTAAAAATTCTTTTACAAAGGCAAGTTCGCTCAATGTTCACATGAGAATACATACTGGAGAGAAACCCTATAAATGTGATGTTTGTAAAAATTCTTTTACAAAGGCAAGTTCGCTCAATGTTCACATGAGAATACATACTGGAGAGAAACCTTATAAATGTGATGTTTGTAAAAAGTTTTTTACAAAGGCATGTTCACTCAATGTTCACATGAGAACACATACTGGAGAGAAACCTTAAAAATGTGATGTTTGCAAGAAATATTTTACAAAGGCATGTTCACATGAGAATATATACTGGAGAGAAACCTTATAAATGTGATGTTTGTAAAAAGTTTTTTACAAAGGCATGTTCACTCAATGTTCACATGAGAATACATACTGGAGAGAAACCTTATAAATGTGATGTTTGCAAGAAATATTTTACAAAGGCATGTTCACATGAGAATACATACTGGAGAGAAACCTTATAAATGTGATGTTTGCAAGAAATATTTTACAAAGGCATGTTCACATGAGAATACATACTGGAGAGAAACCTTATAAATGTAATGTTTGTAAAAAGTGTTTTATTTCAAAACCATCACTTTGCAAGTTGCAATGGAAAATACTCTTAGAAAAAAAAAATTCACAAGTGTGATGTTTGTGAAAAATGTTACACGCGGAGAAATAATCTTAATAGACACTTAAGAGTTCATTCTGGAGAAAAGCCTTATAAATGTGATGTTTGTAAAAAATGTTTTACAATGGCATGTTCTCTAAATGATCACCAAAGAATACATACTGGAGAGAAACCTTATGAATGTGATGTTTGTAAACAGTGTTTTGTTGTGGCAGGTAATCTTAATGTTCACATGAGAATTCATACTAGAGAGAAACCTTATAAATGTGATGTTTGTAAAAAGTGTTTTGTTGTGGCAAGTAATCTTACTGTTCACATGAGAATACCTACTGGAGAGAAACCTTATAAATGTGATGTTTGTAAACAGTGTTTTGTTGTGGCAAGTAATCTTACTGTTCACATGAGAATACATACTGGAGAGAAACCCTATAAATGTGATGTTTGTAAAAAGTGTTTTATTTCAAAATCATTACTTAATTATCACAAGAGAACTAAATCTGAATGTAAAAACTGAGAGAATTGATGGAGTCCCACTAATTTACTTTATCAAGTTAAATTGTAATAATAATACTCAATCACAATAAATGTTGTTTTACATTGTTCGTGTGTCTGTGATTAGGCTAGTAACGACGTATAATAATACCATACAGAGTATATATAGTGTTGACGAAACATTGGTAGCTGCTAATAAACTTTTCAGATGAGGAAGTATATCAATCATTAGTGAGGACGTATTTCATAATGAAAAGACGTATCAGGTGACTAGAAGAGTAAGCATAGCATTTTCTTTGTACCTATTAAGGTCAGAATTTAGTAAAGGTCAGTCGTGTAATTATTATATATAGATATTTTAATGTAGCTTTAACGTTAATGGCTGGTTTTTTTTAGTTAAAACTTTCAGATATCTTAATGAAAAGATTACTCTAGATATTGGTGTGTAAGCTTAGTTTTCACAAATTTGAGGATAAAAAATTTCGACCAAAAGAAAAAGCTGAATTAGTGTGTTTCACTGCCTAAGAGCTTGTCTAAATAGATATCAATCTGTCACATAAATTATAGGGTAGTTATACCTAACGAACTTTTTTTTATCTCTTAGATGTTTCCTTGGATATTCTACAAAATAATTAAAATTGGTTTGTTTCGATTTTCTTTATGAATCCTTCACTTTGACCCATATTTCATGAGCAACCAACTCGGCAACGGCGGCAGAATGCGTCACCTATTTTCGTGTACATTGTTTGATCTATAAATCGAGAAAAACACGTTGTATGGATACCGGGTGGTATAATTAACTTCTCTTAGTATTTATCTTTAATATCAATTCATTATAACTAGTGACAATTCCTTCAAAGAACCACGATTTAAAAAAAAATAGTGACTGACGAAATAAGATACGTAGCGTGATTTATTGGTAAAAGTCACTGAAACAACATAAGAATATGGTCCACTTTGTGTTCCATACAAATTTTCTGCCGACACGCAATCCGCTAGTTGACCACGTGACTTCATTCGTTGGACTACATTCTAGCAGACGACACTTGGAATTTAGATTACCGCTTGGAATAATAAAGAAATTCGGCGGATAAAAAATGCTGATGGACTCACTCCACTAATTCATTTGCCATCTCTTCCCATGTTAAAACACGAAATTCAACCTTCTATAACTTTTTCCAGAAATCTCGTTGAAAGCTTTCCAATATGTCGAATGAAAGCCTGACCAATTCTCAATGTCTCCTAAAAAATTCATTATATGATGACCATGAAAATTTTGAGCTACTAAAATTGAAAGTAGACTACTACCGGTTATACTCGGATAACCCATGTTTATCAAAGCAAGCACATTGCACATGCGGAGGTCGCACATGTAAATTATAAATCATTTCCGGAAATGCACGAAAAATAGGTTAGCACGAAATTAGGTTACTTGACTGTATATACAAAACTACGAATGGTACTTACATGGAAATAACACACACAAACGTAGTCCACAATCATCACGATATCTTCCTGACTCAGGAAGTCGAATTTTGTTATACAATAATTAAAACTATTCTCATTTTTATTTTCAAACAAAATGTAACTTCACAAAGACATTAAAGAACAAAGTAGTTCGAGAATATTATTCAATCCGTAATTGAGTGTTACAAATCAGAAACCTCTCCATAAATCTTAAGTTAATCCGTAAAATATCACACTTCCTGTTCATCCATTTTGTTTTAAAGAAAGCTAGTTGCAATGGAAAATACTTCTAGAAAAAAGAAAATTCAGTGTGATGTTTGTGAAAAATGTTTCACTCGGTTAAATAGTCTTAATTATCACATGAGAGTTCATACTGGAGAGAAACCATACCAATGTGATGTTTGTGAAAAGTGTTTTACAAGGGCAAATTCGCTCAATGTTCACATGAGAATACATACTGGAGAGAAACCTTATAAATGTGATGTTTGTAAAAAGTTTTTCACAACGGCAAGTTCGCTCACTGTTCACATGAGAACACATACTGGAGAGAAACCTTATAAATGTGATGTTTGTAAGAAGTGTTTTAGTCGTTCAGATGGTCTTAATCTTCACATGAGAATACATACTGGAGAGAAACCTTATAAATGTGATGTTTGTAAAAAGTCTTTTACTTGCACAGGTAGTCTTAAGGAGCACATGAGAATACACACTGGAGAGAAACCTTATAAATGTGATGTTTGTAATAAATATTTTACAAAGTCAAATTCGCTCAATGTTCACATGAGAATACATACTGGAGAGAAACCATATCAATGTAATGTTTGTACAAAGTCTTTTACTTGCACAGGTAGTCTGAAGGAGCACATGAGAATACACACTGGAGAGAAACCTTATAAATGTGATGTTTGTAATAAATATTTTACAAAGGCATTTTCGCTCAATGTTCACATGAGAATACATACTGGAGAGAAACCTTACAAATGTGATGTTTGTAAAAAATATTTCAGAAAGAGATGTTCGCTCAATGATCACATGAGAATACATACTGGAGAGAAACCTTATAAATGTGATGTTTGTAAAAAGTTTTTCACAACGGCAAGTTCGCTCAATGTTCACATGAGAATACATACTGGAGAGAAACCTTATAAATGTGATGTTTGTAAAAAGTGTTTTATTTCAAAATCATTACTTAATTATCACAAGAGAACTAAATCTGAATGTAAAAACTGAGAGAATTGATGGAGTCCCACTAATTTACTATATCAAGTTAAATTGTAATAATAATATTCAATCACAATAAATGTTGTTTTACATTGTTCGTGTGTCTGTGATTAGGCTAGTAATGAAGATGTTAGCTTGCTATGTTAGCTTGCCAATTATGACGAATCTGTTGGCTTGGTCAGTATGTTTCTTTAATCAATAAGCGTAGGAACCAATTAGGCCTGGTATATTATAATCGTAAGAACTGATCATTAAGAAATGGTTGTTACTATTGTAACCAAATTAATACGTTACTGTTTTAACCAAATTAATATGTTACCTCTTTAACCAAATTAATATGTTACCTCTTTAACCAAATTAATATGTTACCGTTTTAACCAAATTAATATGTTACCGTTTTTACTGGATACGAGTATAATAATACCATACATAGTATATATAGTGTTGACGAAACATTGGTAGCTGTTAATGAACTTTCACATGAAGAAGTATATCAATCAAAGAGGTATCAGGTGTCTAGAAAAGTAAGCATATCATTTTCTTTATGTATATCTAAATAAAATTATAATATAAATCACTTGTTTTAGTTATTAAGGATGTTTTTCCTTATTTTTCAATGTCAAATTAAGCAAACTATTTGATTAATTGGTGTTTCTAATGAATTATCATGTATTCTTAATCATATGATTATGTTCTTATTGCATATAATTAAGAGTTTTAACCAATCATAAATGTCCATGTATGTACAGTCTGGATAAACGAAAAAAGACTTTTTGACATTTCTTGATCGATCACTAATCGAAATTCTGCTGGTAGTTCTCTTCTGATTTAGCTAATTATGATTTAATTATAGACATGTGTGACAAACTGGTAATTTTCTACTTTCTAAATTTCATTTATGACGAGTACCATGTGTCTATTCTGGATGAATCCCTCGAAGATATCCTATGGATAAAACTCACGCACAAATCAAGTGATACATGTGTGTTTTTATGCGTGTGCTACCTACCCCCTAATGGATCTTCATATATGACAGACGCAGAACAGTTTTATAATAATTTGTTGAATCAGGTATATTCTTTTCAAAATGAAGGTCTTGTGGTGATTTTAACTCTAGGGTGGGTGACCAATCTGATCTGATTAGCTGCCTCTAACGTAAATAGAGATTCCCTTTGGTTTAAATTACAGAAAGCTGGTCTGAATGGTAAAATACTCAAAGCTGTAAAATCCTTATACAACAATGTTAAATGTTCAGTAAGATTAAACGGTCAGTATACACCTTGGTTTCAGGCTAACTCCGGAGTGAAACAGGGTTGTGTGCTGTCACCATTGTTATTCTCTGTTTACGTTAACGATCTGGCTATAGCTATGAGTGAATTAAACTGTGGTATTGATATTGATAACTGTAATGTTGGTATTTTGTTGTATGCAGACGACATAGTTTTAATTGCACCATCAGAAGATGAATTGCAAACTATGTTAAACAAACTTAACTCATGGTGCATTAAATGGCGCATGTCTGTTAATAAGTCAAAAACTAAAGTTATCCACTTTAGACCATCAACATGGCAGTTATCAAATAGAGTATTTAATATTGGGAATATAAATGTTGATTACTGTAAATGTTGTAAATATTTGGGAGTATGGTTAGACGAACATTTAACTTTTAAACTATGTATTAACGAATTAGCTAAGACTGCTAGTAGGGCATTGTCAGCACTTTGTACTTAACACTTCCAGGCGGGTGGATTCCCATATAATATTTTCACCAGACTTTACGAAACGCTAGTACAGCCAATTATGTCATATGGTGCTGGAATATGGGGTATGGTAGAGCATAAAAAATTGAATAGTGTACAAAACAGAGCATGTAAGTTATTTCTGGGCCTGAAACGAAACAGTCCAAACTTGGCAGCTAGGGGCGACATGGGTTGGACTTCATGCCTTACAAAACAAAGAGTTGAAGTATTAAGACTATTTTGTCGTTTGAAATGTTTATCAAACGATAGACTTCCTGTAATGATCAGTAATTGGTCCTCTAGACGTAGCAAATCTTGGGAAAAGAGTGTAGAGGCGATGATAAGAAACCTTAATGTGAGCCATATATGTAATGTTGATAATATTAGTAAGAGTCATATGAACCCCTTAAAACGTCATTTGTTCCAAATTGATGAGTCGAAATGGTTCCAGGATTTATGGAATGATGACAAAAACCCGAATGGTAATAAATTAAGAACATACCGGTTATTTAAAAAGGACCTAAAACCCGAACCATATGCTTTATCACATTTTCTCCCACGCCACTTAAGGAAAGCCACGGCTCTATTACGAAGTGGAAGTTCTGACCTAATGATTGAAAAATTGAGATATAGTCATCCTCCTACCCCACTTAATTGTCGAACCTGTCCCTTTTGTTTAGAGATTGAGACAGAAACTCATTTTTTAGTAGAATGTGATATGTATTCAGATATCCATTTTGAACTATTCCAGGAAATGCATAAAACAGATAATAATTTCTATAACCTGTCCCCCAAGGAAAAAATGATCATGATCTTATCTAGTGATCTAGTCAACCCCAAAACTATAAGCAGTTATATATACGAGATGTTCTCTAGCAGAAATTATTATATGTCATATAATTATAGAACTTAATACTAAATTATATTGCCTCATAAGATTTTATTTTTATACTAATTTTATTTTGTACTGTTTTTAGATATATTAGATCATGTCTCATAGACCTATATGGTCGGACGATGATTAATTTATATGTATTTTTTAATGAATTCTATTTTATGTATATTTCATCGTGTGACACGTTAATAAACATTTCTTCTTCTCCTCTATTATCATTTTCATTTTCATCTTTAAAGAAGAAGCCTGAAGTTTAATTCTGATATATTTTTATAGCAGACTGTATTTGTTTCTATTTAGTCTTTTCAACTTGAAGTCAACATTCAGCCAAGTTCTGTGATCAGTTATTATATATAGATATTTTTTATGTAGCTTTAACGTTAATGGCTGTTTTTTTTAGTTAAAACTTTCAGATATCTTAATGGAAAAGATTACTCTAGATATTGGTGTGTAAGCTGAGTTTTCACAAATTTGAGGCAAAAAAATTTCGACCAAAAGAAAAAGCTGTATGCCCCTCTAGGGGCATATTTAGTGTGTTTCACTGCCTAAGAGCTTGTCAAAATAGATATTAAGCCTTACACTGTGTTGAATATTAGTGTACCAAGAGAAGTGCGTCTAAAGCACCATGTCTTACTGACTTGCACTTGAAATATTTGTGCTCAAAGGGATTGTAAAGAGGTTTTCTACAAACTTTTTACGTGTATTGGGGACCCTGATAGCTTCAATTAGCACCATTTCAATTTTTATTCCGATGTCTGTGGTTCATGCAATTCCACTAAAACTAACGAGTTTTCTGACGTCAGTAGAGGGGGACTGCATAGATGTCAGCAGAACTAGTTATAACTACATGTATGACATAACTACGCTGGCCACGGAACCCGTTTAGATTGAAGACTAGACTCAATTGATAATCCCAACTCAGGAGAAGAATCTAGTATCAACTTAACACAGTAGACTATTAAACTTGTTTTCTTCAGACCACAATGGATCTTTTACAACCATCAGCGTGGAAATTGTATGTTGCTTTTTTCTTTCAAGAAAACGATTTTAACAAATTAGGGGTGTGGAATGTTTTTTCCATTAATTGTTCTTTCCGTAGAAGAAATCATGGGAAGGTGATAAATAATTTCCACACCTCAAATATATCGAACTTTGGAACACGTGTCACTCCAAATCGAGTTTCTAAGATGATTGACTCGATGTCCGACTTTTATTCCATGTTAACCTATGAAGTCAACAATACTGTATTTTCCTCCCGTGGTCAATTCCTTCCCCTCTCTCTTTTATGGTTAATCCTACAGAGTATCGAAAGTATTCGAAAGCCTCACAGAATTGACTAGGGGGTATCTGTTTTCTCCTTTCTCTCTTTCAACACCTTCAATTTCATATACATACTATTAGGTATTGTAATGCCCCCTTTATTGTTAATCCTACAGAGTGAAAAGTATTCAAAAGTCTCATAGAATTAACTAGAGGTTCTGATTTTATCAATACTTCTACAATACTACTACCTTTAATGATTATATTATGAAATTATATAACAATGATATATTGAGATCATCCAGA